AAGCATCATTTTTGATTCCCTGTATCCTTCCAAATGGAAAAAGCTTGCTATAATGCTGTCAGGATAGTTTTGTGTGCATGGAAAGGGCGTTCATAGCAAAGGCTTCTGCACTTCGAATAAAGTAGGCAAGGTAAATTTGCTGCACAATAGACAAAGTACGCAATACTCGTTGCATGCTGCTGTGGACGGACTTCTTTTTAGACTAAACGTCACACAACAGTTAGCAGACGGCTTTGCAAACAGAGCATGAGATGTTAATGCATAGCTTTGCAATCTCTACTAACGCATTGTTTTGCTCATCGTTTCGCTTTTAGAGCTGCCACGATTACGCTATTAAAAGTTCTGCACGGCTTGCGATTTCTATGACTGAGTGCTGACTAAAGGATGGGTAACATAAGGTCGTTCGGAATGTTTTTTAGTTTTAGCTCCCCCTGACTTTGAAAAGACACAACGTTTTTGTATCCAACCTTTTGCTGTCTAATCATTGTGTTTAACACATCGCTGATAACTCTGCTGTAGTATCTTTTAATTCTTGTGAAGTGATCTCACAGAAATGCCTAAAAAGGCGATTTTGATGCTGATCATTAGGCTCTTTTATTCTTGTATATCTCAAGCGATTTAAGTGTTTATATTTTTATCTGAAAGAGCAAGTCATTTTCTTCATAGCACTTAGCAGCTCTACTGAGCATACACTGCTTAGATATAAGCGGCAGAAGAAAATTATTCAAATTTTGAATTTTCTGTGTAGGGTCCTAAAAAATCTGAAACATTTGGTAATAATCGAAGCAGTCAGGTTTTCCTGAAAAAGCCCAAATAAATCAAATTCTTCTGTATTGCTTGCTAAAAATTCATAACTTTTCATAGAGACGTTTAATCAGCGCAAACTTTGTGCAATTAGAGAGAGCTGGTGAAAAAACCTATAATACTGATTGCTCCGATTTTTATCGCAGATTTCAGATTGTTTATGACCCTACATAGAAAATTCAAAATTTAGGTAATTTTCTTCTACCACGTATATCTATGCAGTGTATGTTGTATGTTCAGTAGATTGCTGCTAAGATACCGCTTTGAAGGAAATGACTTGCTCTTTCAGATAAAAATGAAAACACGCAAATCGGTCGAAAAAAGCAAAAGTTATGAATTTTGGATATGGTGCGAACGAACTTTCAGTACAACCTACTAGAAAAAAGTGGTGATCATTAAAGGAAGGTTTAAAGAGTGTGAAGGATAAACAGGATCCTCGATGCGCAATCAACCCGTTGTTTGGGAGGCACCTTTCTTACCTGTGGTGTGATGGCATCGTAGGCGAGTATGGCATCTCTTAAAGCTGTATGTCAGGTCAGCTCAGTTTGCACTTTTTGACAAACGTTTTCAGATCATTATCAAACTGCTCTGCTCAAATCCTGAACAACGAAAGCAAGGTATACGCGTCTTCAATCCGCAAATCAGACATTTTTTGGGATATTTACTTGCTTAAATTTTTCTGCATTACAGCTTTGGAGAAGATTGCTATTGATGGGTTTATGTGATACCTCAAGGCCTGCCAGTAATTTTACGCAGATGCATGCGGTTTGCTTTGAAAGTCCCTCTGAGATGCTAGCCTAAACTTCTTATCAATCAAAGTTTGACTGTGTTAACAGACTTGCACTTCGCTCGTCTTGCACAGAATGTCGCGCGCTTAAGTCTTTGAATGAGAGCTTTTTTGCATATTTGCAGCTTATATCGTGAAAAAATTTCGCTGATACGAATTGTCAGATTTAAGATCACCTTTCAAGTAAATGCCACTAAACTGAAGCGTTTTCTCGCAAAAAAACTACTAATATCCATTCTGTATGGCAGGATAACAATTGTATTTATACTATTTTCAAGGGAAATTTTTAGAACTATTATGTAGTTTGTCCCAAAAGTAAACTCCTTTTGTAATTAAAAGCTGATTTTGTTTTCATAGCAGACTTAGGGTACCATTTGATAGAGTAAGGCAAGCTCTACAGAATGATTTCCAACATTTGTCTATTCTTAATCTAAGTAACATTTGGAGCCAAAAATCAAATCTTTTCAGGCGCCCTAAGAATCGGGTCTCCTTCCAGAAAATTTCTAAGGACCTCAACTTAGTCATTATATAGTAGACACACAGTAGTACCAAAAATATATTTGGTGGAGTTTTTTCAAGGTTCAAAATTGAGAAACAGTCTTAGTCCGAAAATGCCAAAATGCCACTTCTCTCGGGTATCTAAATAAAACTTGGTATTTCTCGATCGTAAAAGCACATAAAGAGAATAAGTTTTAATATTAGACTTAGTAAAGCCTAAGTGCATAACGACTTATGTGGGAGGGGCTGGGGGCAGAGTTTGTCATTTAAACTATCTTTTTTTCGCTTTTTATGCGCGGGAAAAATCCAGTAAAAGCATTTTTGAGTAACATTGTGTGCTTACTGTATAATGACCATGTTGGAGACCCATAGGATTTTTCCTCGCAAAAATCTAATTTTCTGGTAACAAAATTTTCCAATTTTGGTTCCAAACTTTACATGGAATGCGACTCGGGCGGATATTCGGTGGTCATCCCGTAGAGCTTGATTTGTCCCATCAAATGACTCCCTAAGTTAACTAGGAAAATAAAAACGGCTTGAATTATTTCAAGAAGGAGTTTACTTCTGGGACAACCTAATAGTTTGTAAACAGCTGGATAGTGTAGGAAGCAGATTCACGTGTGTTTTTCTTTGTTCTTATACTTGTATGAAACAATTCACAGAAGCTTCACTTCACAGAAGTACTTCACAGAAGCAAGCTCTTTACGATCAAAGCTTTGTTGACACATAGCAAGTATAATGGAACAAAACATTTTTGAAATCCAAAATATGAATTCCTAATTTCTTAGGCCCTTTTGCGCGCACATTCCCGCGGTGGAGGGGAGGGGATCTGAGAGGGAAAGCGTCATATCTAGTTACTTTGGGTATCTGTACTATTCTTTTTCTATCTATCTTATCAGGCACAGGATATTAGCTTTTTCAATTGAACCGCTCTTTGCAAGCTGAGGTTCATCGAAAAAACTAACAACTTGCACAATCCATGTTTTGCAGAAACCATCACAAGCAGTGCCATAGTATATCCTCAGTACAAATTCAGGACGTTTTTATTCTTTTTGGGAAAGATATACGATTTTGAAAGCTAAGGGTGGTTACCTGTTAATTATTTATATTTCGTCTATTTTTTTTCAGGGGGTGGATGAAAAAATGGGAATTACACAAAACAGTAAAGTTCTCAGCTGTGGCAATGTTCTGCCACCCATTACACTTTAGTATCAGGCAGTGGCTGTCTGGAAGGTGCTCCCCTCTCTAGAATGGGTCGCGAATTTTTTGAAATTTGCTTACATGAGTTATAAAAATATGCAAATGATTTGTATACTCTTGTAAATAATTAAGTCAAATTAGCCCTGTAATAAATTCTTTTCGGAAGCGTGGCTGCCGCGACGCCCCCTTTTCGTAGATTTTAGGGGTTATGAGCCGGCAAAAATTTTGAAAAGCATTCTGAAAATTTTTTCGGAGTGCTTGGAGAGTGCGACGCACCTTCATTTGAAAATTTTTTTGCCCCATCTCCCGGAGAGAAAACCTGGCATCGCCACTGGCATCCGGGCTCGATTCGCCCTCCAAAGAGGAGATGCATTATACAGGCCTTACTGGGCCTTATGACACCATTGCAATCCCCGTCCTCCAACCACTTTGGCAAGGCTTATCTTTTCTTGTAGGCCAACTGTTGTGTTTGCCATGGCGTGTGTAGGAAGACGATTGGAAACCGGATGGACGTCCTTGGCTTCATCGACAAATACTTTACGTAGACAGTATTTCTCTAGATGTCCGCGCTTTTTGCAGTGTTGCATGCAGTGATCGGCTTCTCGCACTTCCTGGTCCTATGGGCCTTCGCTCCGCAGGTCACACAAAGATGTGTTCTGGACTTGTGACCATGAATGGCTTCCGCTTCTCGTCTTGCTGCATCGCGTTGACTTGCGGGTTCTCATTCATCTGATTCACGCTGACTTTAGGAACCTTGGCTTTGCTGATCATCTGTATGTGATTCTGCAGTTCCAAATAATCCTTGTACCATTCATTCTTGCCTCGTTAGTTCAGCCATGGGTTCTCGATTATACTTCCACAGTTTAGAGATCTGCTTCATTAGGAAGTGGATCGCGTTCGTGTCCGGGCTTGAGTTCGGATCCTGATTGTCAGTTGTTGTGTTGCCATGGCGTGTGTAGGAAGACGATTGGAGACCGATTGGAGTTCTTTACTTGACGACAAGGAACTAAGAATGAACTATACTTACTAAGGAGTGTATATATATAGTGCACACAACTATATCACATATCATAAACAACAGATCAACATATTCGTTTATTTTTTTCGAGCATTGGTTTCTTGTGCGGTTGCACAACATCAACGGATAGCATTCTTGCCCGGCATTGACTTGTTTATGCCAGAATGAAGATCATGGAGAGAAGGTTCACAATGCAATTCATAGCAAATGGGATAACGTTCCTACGACTATACCCAAGCATAAAGTGACATTGCCACCACCCTATATTACGACAATAACTAGATTTCCACCGAGAACAACAGCCGAAACAGCAACAGCAAAAACAGCCTCTACGGTAGTTGGATTTTCTACAACCGAAGAAGAAGAACAAGAAGAGGAAGAAGAAGATGGTGATGAAGATACGACAACAGTGGGCTCTACAAGTGCACCTGAAGAGCAGTGAGTCGAAGCTTGTTACAATTGACGCAGCAAGAATTACTGTGCTGGTTTCAGAAGCTTTTTTAGCAGAATCGAAAAACAAGTGCCGTAAGTGAAATTTAGCTACATGGCTAGGACAATTTCATGAACATTCAGGATTCGATTGCTACTCGTTGTTGGGGGTGGACTATTAGGCATCATCCTGCTCTGCTGCATCATATTAATCGCACGAAAAAGTCGAAAAAAACGCAATAGAAAGAAAAGAAAAGCTAGGAAAGGAGTTCGTCCGCATGAATCTGCCAGCGCCAAGGTCCTTCGCGCCGAAAAAAGAACTCATATAAACTGATACCCTTCCAGTCATCCACAGCTTCTGCAAGTGCCCCTGTACCAAAGAAAATGGAAGCAGAGAAAATCAACATGATGGAGTTTTCTCATAAAGGAGCGTTAGTCATGCAAGACGTTAAAGGTGAAGTGGTAAGCTTAGACGGTCATGCATGTGCATGCGTTTATAAAACTAAAATATCATAGAAACATGCACTGGATGACGTCAAATCTGGAGAGATAGTCAGAGTTCAGTACGATACTGGGCAGAATGAAATAGTGACCATAGGATCAGACGTGGATATCATCAAGGTTAGTGATTTCAAATGTGCGAGCAGGAAATGCTATAGCTGTAAACTGGTGCATAGCGCCGTGTTCGTCAGTGACCTATTTTTTCTTCTTTTGTTTCTTCTTCTCCTCTGTTAAAGTGCTTTTTCCATTTGGAGATGTTGCTTTAATGCTCATTCCTGTTTTTTGCTCCTGAACTTCAATTGCTTTCGGCTTTCTTCTCTTTTTGAAATGAAAAACTTGTCTGTGTATTTAGAACAATGAAAAAGATAAAAAGCGATAAAAGGGACTGTAGGTAGGCGTTTCTTTGCGATCGCAATACTAATTTGCATTCAGTACTGCGCCACTGTTCCTAGCACACAATCTGCATCCGTTCTTGAATATCTTAAATACGCGCATTCTTTCTAGCTTGTTATTATGATTTTTTCATGAGACAGCTCAAGTTATAAATATATTTCAAGACAGTTTTGAAATATGAAAACATTGTGATTGATTACTGCTGATGGTTTTGCACTTGTGGAGCATATTGCCATGCAAGTGGCGACTGACTCTGTTGTCTTCTTGACCCCCCCCCCTTAGTTCTAGTTGAAAAAACCTTGATAACTTTAATTCATTCAGGATATAACTGGCACTGGTACCGAAGGAGCTGTAGCAGAAAACTCGGACAAGAAAACGAAAACAAAATCTACCAAAGAGTAATTCAAGATGCAAAAAAGCATATTAAAAAATTACCAGTTGATGTGCATTAGTTTTCAATGTGTATCTCGTTATCAGCACATTCTAATTTTATAGCAAGTAACTCATAACAACAATCTTTTAAATAAATATTCTCAATAGGTGTGTCTATCTTTTCATTTTCCTGTGATGAGATTAAAGGCAGCGTCCGGTCAGATTGACGACCTCCGGTTTATTGCCTTATTTGGCCCTACTCGTCGCCCTAAATGCGAATATAGGCCTCGGAACCCGTGAAAACGAAGAAATCCGAGGTTTTTGGAAGCCCCTTCCAGTGGCCTCCGGACGAGCACTCACATGCCACTGGTCAGAAACCAGAGAAACAAGACGCCGCAATATTGTGTTGCGGCACGGTTATGACAGTACGAGGTTGCAACCCGTCCACAGTTATGACAGTGCGAATAGGCAACCTGCACATCTAACGTGAAATCCTTGGATAAGCGGGCATGTCGCCGCCAGCCGTAAAGGGGTGTCCGTGTCGCCACTTCTGAGGCGGTTTTCTCGCTTCAGAAGCAAAGTGGAGCGATGCCACTTGGGCAAGACCTTGATCGGGGTGGGAGCTGTAGGAATCTGTGCTTTTCTTGAAATCGTCGGACCTGCCTGGACGCTGCCTTTAAGGACTTACCATACCATTCCCGAATGTAGAAAAGGCAAGGTATAAGAACATAGTTTCAGTGTCCTACTGGTTGTCAACTTCTGTAGGCTCAACTAATCAACGTATGAATACAGTTTGAATATTTCCGTATTTACCACCACGAGACAACGTCATACGAATGCGCAATCATCGGGGCATAAAACTGTTTCGTTTTATACAAATGACTGCACGTATTGAGTTACAAGTCAATATTGAAGATTCGGGTTAATGTTCAAGGTAACCAGGGTAAGTTGCTGCCACACCCCATCAACTCACCTTCAGAGCATTCATACATTTTTGTATCCTTGAACCGTCTAATTTTTCTTTTCACAATGGAACTTTCATATGAAATCTATCACCGTTTTTTCAGTGTTAGCATCTAGTATCCATGGTAGATACTTGATTACTGTGATATGCGAAATTTGTGCTGCTACGAATATTGCGAGGGATGGCGGCAGAAAATACATATGTCAAGTCATTTCTAAGTATGCGAACATGCACACCATGCGCGTTACTTGATGAACTTCGAGATTTGAAACAGCTTATATACAGTGGTGTCTCCTTGTTAGCCTGACTTTATTCCATAAAACACTTATTTTTTAGTGGTAAGCAGTAAGCAGTTATCTCAGCACAGTTTGTTACGCTAGAAAAGGCTTATTAAAGAGTTACTAATGAGGGAGTGGTCCATTGCCGCGCAGAGTGTGCAGACTATACTTTGGACCGAATCGAATGAGTATTCGATTACTGGAATAAATTACTCGAATGCGAATAATTCGAAAATTCGAATATTCGAAAACCTGAGATTTTGAATAATACCCGATAACCGAATATTCGAACATCTCCGTTTTCGAATATTAAATCAAAAATCGAAGATTCGAAAATATCAACTATCGAATATTATTTCACTGTCGAATATTCGATGGTCATCAATTCGATCATTCGATCTCTATCGAATATTAGAATATTCGATGAGCACCGAATATTCGAGAAATTCGGTGAGCATTGAGTAGTCAGAGTTTCGACAAATATTCAAAAACTCGATATCCATAACGTATACGGGGTGTCCCAGAAGTACCCACACAATGTTTGATCGCTAATACTTCCCACAATGTCTTGATGCGAACTTCGGTAACATCCTGTAGAGATGGATGCAGCTTACATATACAGCAAAAAACGATTCACAAATGCGTTTCTAATTGTGGAATTATGGTGGGAACTTTCAATATATAAAGCGACTGCGAATTAAGACAAAAAGATCTAGAAATTTGTGTAGCAGAGTTTTTATGCATGCTGATTCTACTATGCACGATTTTTTCTGCTTTTCAAATGTGCAGTCACATTTTTTGAAAGGCATTGCAAAACATTTTTACTGTGTACCTGGCATAAGTAGTGAAAAAAACAATACGGTTAAGTGCTACTTGTATATAGTGAATGTCTCCAGAAGTCTAATGGTTATTTTCGTCCTTTTCAGTACCCTTTCTTGGGAAAAATACGGCTCTTGCTAAAACTCTTCAATATTTCTACGGTAATTTTACAATAGTAAAAAGAGATCGATGAGTCGTCCATTCTGTAAGTCTAAGTTGATGTGAGCACATAGACCTAAATACTTTTGGGGCCGTCATATATCAATCCACAACTCTTAAAGGGGGGGGGGGATATGATCTTCCGGTACTTTTCCGTTATCCGGACCCATTTTTTTCAAAAGGCTTTCATACTATACATTCTTCAGTGTAAGAATAACTTTCCCTACGTTCTACGAGGACTGCCTTCTTGCCACGTGTCACAAAAAATTGACACGCTTTGGTTCACTTTGACATGTCTTTTTTCGAAATCACTTTCGGTGAGATGAAAGAAAATTTGTGATGATTTTAAAGCTGTTTAACTGTTTTACATGAGCTCAAAACAATCACGATCTTATGCTAGAACTAGCTTGCTTTCAGCAGTGAATTAAAAGTGTATTTCTCTTCAAACCCTTTTGGCTATGCGAATTTAGCCAGAAAACTGTGAATGATAGCATAAAGTACCTTGCGTCTGCTTATTTTGCCTCTTAAATGACGGAATCCTAGCGCACTTCTCCATCCTGAGCAAGTTTAATATGTTCATCGATGGTATCATGTCATTATTATCATGAAAATGTTCACTTTCAAACTGTTTGGTCGAAATGAGGTCAAAATCAACTCAAAAACAGATTGAACTTACATAGCTAGGTATGTTCCTGCGTTCCATAGCCCGCCATGCGTGCCATTGCACGCGCGAGCGTGCATTTGCACGAGTCGGGTAAGCCGTGCGTGCCATTGCACGCACTGCGGGCCATTGCACGCTTTGAGTGCAATAGGACGCACCTTCGATCTTTGCACTGAGTGCAGATAAAAAGTCAAAACTTTCTATATGCATGCTAGCTCGTAATCGTAATCTTTACCCCAATTTTGGACTCAATCGTATAGGTGTGAACCAATCTAATACTTTTTGAAAAAGAGTGGAGCTTGATATAAAAATTCAGAAAAAATTTGTTCAGACGCAGTATGTATGATGAAATTTAAAAATATTATGGGTTGCCTTCTTAAACTTTCTATTTGATGCGAAGTTCTGGTGAATTGTAGGTGATTTTCAAAAAAATAGAATTTTCAGAAATTGGCAAAAACTTGGTTTTTCAGATAACGGTTTACGGTAAAGCTGGAAATCTGCAATTTTGCATGCATACATCTAGTCTATGCCTAACTATGATATAATTTTTTCAGAATTTTAGGATCACTCTGGAGCGAGTTCTAAAAAACCCGGTTCAAAAGCACGCCATAACTCGAGAATGGGCGGAGCTAGGGGGGCGTGGCTATGACCAAAAAATTTTCCATGTCAAACTGGTCCGGGGGGAGCTTGGCCTGAGGGGAAGGGATTGATCCGGGGCCCGGTACGGCGAGGTAAAGATTCCTGGTTGAGCCTATTCAATTTTCCAGTGGGTCTCATCCAATAAATAAGAGATTTTGCAATATATTGTATCGTCGTGCAATATATTGCACAGCCTATAATGGTGAATTTTCGCTGGTTAACGCGAATACATTGGGAGTGAAAAAATCACTTATTATTATGTAAGTGACGGACCAAAATTTCAAAAAAAAATTTTTTTTAAATCGGGAAAAATTGGGGAATGTCGGGAAGAACAATGCAAAAGAGATTAGGACATGCTAGGGCCTTAATTGAAATAGTTAAGGCTTTTGAATAATGTTCAAAACTGGTATGTTCCGAATGTTCAAAAAATTGTAAGGTAATACAAAAGTCTAGAAAAATAGGTAAGTGTTGGGAAGATAAGGCAAGAAGGCAAAAGGGTCTAAGAGATGCTATCGCCTTAGTTGGTGTATCTAAGGTTTGAGAAATAGTAGCTTGCGGATTTTGAATGATCGGGGACCATCAGTCGTTCTGGAAAACTTTTGAAATTTTTTTAGAATGTCTAGGAAAATAGGGGAATGTCAGAAGGATGAGAAGGGCCCTCATAAAGCATGTCAACGCCCGAAAGGTTTTTAGGTTTATGCATATACAGTATATACAAACACATAACTAATAACACAAATTAGCACATATACAATATATACAAACACATAACTAATAACAGAAATTAGCACATATACAATATATACAAACACATAACTAATAAAACAAGTTAAAGTTCAATCTCATCGGAGTCGGAGCTGTATGTGACAATCTGTGGCTCCCTTTCGGATTTTTGCACTAGTGCTTTGCTCTTCTTTTCATCTGATTCCTTCCTGAGGCTGCTCGTTTTGGAACGTTTCCTCGGCGATTGCTCAGCGTCTGATGTTGATTCCGATCTTTGTCGTACTGCATCTAAAATATGCTAGTCACCCACAAATTTGAGAGGAGTTAAATGTTATGTTGAAAAGTCCTCGACTTCTTTCCTGAAAGTTAATGCGTAACGCACCAGGGCGTGAAGAAGGCCCGGGCATTTGCTCCTCCGGCACGTCTGCAATTTCGTGCTCTTCCTCAGATTCAGAAGACACATCGTTAGAGTCTTCTAGTTCCAGCTCATCTACGACAATCTCGGGTGCAACATTTTTACAACGACGTGTCAAACTGAACCAGAATGCAGTAAGCAACCATGGAATGACGATGTCACTCACTTTGCAAGCTTGAACATGCCCTGTACTCGCCGAATTGTATCAAAATTCTCCGCTTCTTCCCTCTTGGCAAGCTGCCGAGCCTTCACATAACCATGAGCGCAACTGATCATGTACTCATTTTGATACAATTTTAGTTGAATCTTTTGCGAATGCGCTGAAATTTTAGATCTAATCGAAGGACATTAGCACTATAGTTGGTAGAAGTTAAAGTTAAGAATAACCTCTGTTTTAATGTACCATTTGCGTTTCCTTGACTATGTACATGGCTCAATCTTTGAACTTAGCATATAGCGCCGACAGAATCAATCACTTATTTG